TGCTTTGGACTCCTTGCAGTCCAAAAAGAGCCTTATCTGCGCTCTCATCGCCAGATCTGAGGTGTCGCCACGTGGCTCTGGCTCTCGGCTGAGCGTGGGTGTTGTACCTGTGAGGATCTCAACACCTTGATCCCTTCCGTGCCTCTGACGTGCAGGGACTTGCTCAGAGGGACAGCCGGGGATTAGCAGCTCATCAGCATTGAGGGACACTCGGGATTAGCAGCTCATCAGCACTGAGGGACACTCGGCATTAGCAGCTCATCAGCACTGAGGGACACCCGGGATTAGCAGCTCAGTGGGATCCAGGGTGTGAGGAGAGGTTTTTGGAAGGAGTGGTGAGAGGGGCTCGCAACCCAGCGATGGATTGTGGAGACCCCAAGGCTGGACCCTGCGGGGGACTGGAAAGGCTGAACCTCTAGGACATGGACCTGTTTGGTACCTGCCAGGTGTGGAGGGAAAGTGTGGCCTGATCCTGAGCTGCTGGAGGGGTTGGCACTGCCACAGCCCCTCCCAGCCTGAAGATCGAGGTGGGATCTTGATCCCTGCGCTGGGGAAAGGGAAACGGGGGGATGCAAAAGGCCCCAAATTCGGGCCACGCTGCCTGTTGTCTGATGCTCTGCCTGGGCCCTCCTCTGCCCTGCAGTCCCATCACCCCCCTAGATGGGCTGGCAGGTCATGCCACCTCTCAGTCTCATGCCTGCAAACACCTCACCTTGGGGTGTGTCCCTAAAAAACCCTTGGCCGGATCCCACGGTCCCGTTTTCCCTTCAGGCACAGCAGTGCCAGTGTTGATGGCTGACACGATGAAGGCGCTGCTGGGGTAAGAAGAACTCCCCAGTTTTCTGTCCAAAAGGCAGAAGCTGGTCAGTCTTGATCCTCCAAGAGTTTGAGTGGCCAGTGATATTCCCTTGATTCCTGATTTTGCTTCCTCCCCAACAATCACTTTCGTGAGATGGACAAGAACCCTCTTGGCTTCAAGTTCTCTGGGCCCAGGACTGGTCACACCTGTCCCAAAGAGGACCTTCCCGCTTTGAGAGGAAATGCATCCCATGTCCTGGGCCAGGTTGGAGCAACCTGGGCTGGTGGGAGGTGTCCCTGCCCATGGCAGGGGGTGGAACTGGGTGAACTTCAAGGTCCCTTCCAACCCAAACCCCTCTATAATTCCATGAATTGCTGCTGATTTCTGCACAAACGCTGCTGGATGTTTCCTGCTGTAATTAATGGCTTCGTGATTAACCCAGAGAAGGTGAGTCCATGAAATCCCACCTGTATTTCCAAGGGATGCTGCTTTTCGAGCAGGAAACCTCTGCAGGGAAACCCAGCCCTTGGGGTTTCTTTGGGAAGGGGAAAACCGAGGCGGGGCAATTCCCCAGGTTGAAGTTGCAAACTTTGGTGGTTCTTTGCAAGTGGGACAGTGACCATCTGCTTCCACAGGGAGGTTTCCCTCAGGGAACATCTGCCAACAGCACTGGAGGCCGAGGAACATTCCACAGAGAATGTTTTTGATTTTTATTTGATTTTTTTTGGGGGGAAGTAAAACAGGGGACCTGGGAAAGGGTGAAAGCAACCTCACACGACCAGTTCTGTCTGCACACTGAAATCTTTATTTCCCATCGCACTGATGGCACCGAGAGGAGCCACCTGGGAATTCACAGCTCCGGGATGTAGCACCGAGGGGACACACGAGGGAGGGAGGGAGGCACGCATGGAGGGAGCAGGGGGAGGGCACAGATGGGCTGGCCCTGCTGGACCTGGAGCTGTCACTTGTGGCCAGAGGGGAAGTAGCAGCTCTGCTTGGTCTGGTGGGACACAACGCTGGGGATGACGATGGGGCACTTCTGCTGGGAGGACTGGGAGGAGCCTCCACCTCCACCAGAGCTGATGATGATGGTCTGACCAGAGGAGCCACCACTGGATCCCCCACAGCATCCAGAGGATCCTCCACCTCCCATGATGATCTTCCCTCCTGAAGAGCCACCACTGGATCCCCCACCACAGCATCCAGAGGAGCCTCCTCCTCCTCCTCCTCCTCCTCCACCCCCAGAGCTGATAATGATCTTCTGGCCTGATCCTCCACTGCCCCCACCGTACCCTCCTCCCATCCCGCAGCCACCGCCGGATCCTCCGCCGCAGCATCCAGAGGAGCCTCCTCCTCCCATCATGCCCTTTGAGGATCCTCCTCCCATTCCACCACCAGATCCTCCACTGCTTCCACCTCCAATGATGATCTTTGTTCCTGATCCGCCACTGGATCCTCCTCCCATTCCACCCCCGGATCCTCCTCCACAGCATCCTCCACCTCCACCTCCCATCATGCCCTTTGAGGATCCTCCTCCCATTCCACCACCTCCACCTCCCCCACAGCATCCAGAGGATCCTCCACCACCTCCACCTCCCATCA